TCCAACTTGTTCCGAGAAACATCAATTTTCTTGTGCAATGTATCCCAGATCTTTAAAACTTTATAGCAAGGGAGTTCTTCCTCAATATCAACTTCAATATCAACTTCTCTTGTTTCAGTAAGGTCAGTCTTCGACTGTTTCTGATATGATCAACTATCGAAGACTAGTTAAACTGTTAAATTGTGGATGTAATATCGCCAACAATGTAATATTACATTGTGGATGTAAAAGTTAAACTGTGGATGTAATATTGCCAGCACAGTCATTTAGAAATTGTGAGCAAAGTCTTTAATTTCCTGAGATGGCTGGCTCTCTTGAAATAAAAAAAAACCCTAACCTTTATTTTTAATGAGATAAAAGTAAAATCTTTTTTTTCTTTTTTTTTTCCCATCTATGCTAACCAGTTTCTGGAAGTTGTTTATGAAGCTTTCTCCTCAGCTGAGCTGTTTGGAAACAGTATCTATGTGAAAGCTGCAATTCTTATGTCATTCCTTCCAAATGTTCTGGTTTAAAGGAAACACCAAGTCAGCACTGTCACCAATAAACTGTGAGAACTGACATCTCAAGAAATAGAAAACTGATAAATGATCCCTTTTCTCAGGAGCCAGAGCAGGTTTTACACTTGAAGTATTTACCTTAGGAAATTATATTAAAAATAATATGTAATGCTATATACATATTGTTAATGACTTACTATCTTGATAATGCCACTGACTTCTGTAGAAGTGAAATTTCTAACAACCAGGTATTTTCTAGGCATGACAAGTCGTGGTGATATTATGTTTCTGTTTATATGAAGTGAGAACAAACTATTACTTCAAGCAATCATATTCCTGAAAGTTTAATTGTCAGACACAAACAAATAATTAAGGCAAAATATACATGCAGTAAGGGAGGGCAATTTTTAACTTTAAGCAATGATGTCATATGGTGCATCTTTGCAATAGAAATAATGTTTCACTGCAGGGTTTTGCTTTGCCCGATCAGTTAGTGGGCACTTTGGTTCCTGAATTCTCATCAATATTAGTAGAAATCTCGGGTATTTAAGCCTCTCCCATATCAATAGGGAGCCTGGCTGTACCATTCAGCACACAGATAAAGTGCAATACTCTTAGAGGTGAACAGCTGTACAGATGATAACATTTAATTTGATCTATAGCATCAATATCTTCACATGTTTTATTTTGAAGCTTATCCAAACAAAGAGAAACTCCCCTTAATTTCCCCACTGACAGAGTTAACAGTTTGACAGAGTGTGTGTCAAAACATGGAAGTCCTCCTTTGAGGGCATCTCTCTTCCGATTCAGTATCTGCATGTGAATGGAGATTCATTACTGCTTTTGTTGAGGTGGATTATGGCTCCTTTGGAAGGATTAAAAAGATGTGCATGGAAAAGGCACTGTTCTGGGAAGAGCCTCTTCTGACAGCAGCTTTCTTTGAAACACATGGATTAATAATAGGGGGGCTATTTTGCATTTATTGTAAATCTTTCCTGTGCTCCTGTGTTCTAGTTTGACCTGCAAGCAAATCATAGTATTTTAGGGAAACTTGCAAAGTGTAGGAAATAAAATCCTTTATTCCCAAGCAGCTAACCAAACCTATTACAGATGCTAGTTAATAGGAGAGTTCTGTTAAGCTTCTCTGACCTTTTCACTATGACATTTTTTCTTCAGTAGTATGTGATTTTATGATTCTTAAGCTGCCAATCCTTTTTTTTTTAAAGTGTTGTGTTTCTATTTAAGACTTTGTTGGGGGGGGGGGATGCTTCAGCTAAACTATTATGGCAGTTTTGAGAACAACAGTAGGAAAGAAAAGAAACCATTGCTTGGTCCATGCTAAAAGAAAGCAAATTATTGAGCACCTCTCCTCTGTCTCCTGAGTCCCTGTTATGCTGTTCTTAGTTTCACTGCATCACCTCTAAGTCCCTAACATAGCCAAGCAGCCCAACATTATCCAGGCAATTTCTAAACTGTCTTTACAAATCCAAGAATTTATGGATTCCACCATTTTCTTAAACTGCCTGTATCCCTCTCCGCAGTGTTAAATTGTCATTGTAGTCTATTTTTGGATTATAGTAAAACTACTGCTAGTAAAATTTATGTACGTATCTACTGTATTCATAAGTTCAAATGTAATATATGTGCATATCTTTGTTTAAAATACTGTATAGATACAGCATCTTATAGGACACTCATGAGTTAGGAAAAATAAAAAGCATGACATTTCTTCTTTCTAGTCGGAAATGGTGATTTAAAGGCAAATGGTAGCAGAAAACACAAGTTAACAGAGGTAGAGTTCCAATTACATATCAGGACTTATGTTTTCTTACTATGTGCTCAAGTCACTTAACCCACTTTATTGCTAGTAAACAGTGAGTCAGCTGCTAGTCAGAATCTCTACACTGATTTTCCTATAAAATATCAAACTGCTGTTTTAAATCCATCCAGAAACATCTGTGTTTCTGGATGCAGAGACATCAGGATGCATCTGGATGCAGACTGCAGTTCTGCTCTCTGCACCGGCTTTGTTAACAAGACCATTTCCCGCTGTAATTTCTCAGTTGCTCAACTAGTTGTTTTAAAGCCAATCTGTACGTTAATTTATAGAATACAAAGTACTTGAGGACCAACATTTCTATATACACGTAGAGTATCCATAACAAGTAGCAGAAAGTGAAAACCTGTGACACGGATCTTCTTACAAAAAAAAGTTATCCTTTATTTTAAATACAAGAAAATGAAGCACAGCTATTTAAGTAAATGGTATTTATAAGAGCATTTAATATTTCTTACTCTGAACCTCTCATCTTCTTCTTAAATCAGTACAATGTATTTTTCTTTACAGGTAGAATCAAATAGCCTAGAATTTTACTATAGGGCTGGTATTAATGCTTTCCAAAAATAGGATTTGAAGAAGAAACATTCATATCAAGAGAAAAGAGAGCTCACAAAAGTTACCGTTACTAGTTCTTGAATTTTTGTTCTTATGAGAAAACCAAGTCATTTTGTGGGGTATCAAAAAGTCAGGCAACTCTGAGCTCTGAAAGATTCACCCAGCCTATCCTATGCCAGCCACACCTAGTTTGATAGCTGCTCCCAAAAGCTCAAAAATTGCAGCATACTATGCATGAAGGAATACTAGATAAGTCTTGGATCCTTTGACTAATAGTAAGATATTACTAAGTAAATTCAGATGTGAAAAATCATTTATCAAATTTGCAGATTTTGTGTTAATGAACAACATATGCAACAGTTATAGATTTTAACTAATGTAAATTGTTTGAATTCCCTTGATGCCATGGAAGCTGTGTTACACTGATTTTCATCATCTGAGAAGCTGATCATGTGCTTTTGAGAGTACTCAAACTTGGGAGTACTCAAATTTACTTAATTTAGCAGTGAGACATCATGACTAACATTTAAGATATCGATCTCTAGAGTAAGGAAGGAAGTTTTCCTGTTCTAACCTCTCCACAGAGCTGTACAACCTTTCTCTTCTACATTTCTTCTGTATTTTTTTTTTTTTTTGATATTTCTTGCTGAAGCTCAGTCTATCTACTACAAGCAATCATTTCCTTTAAGGAGATTTATAAAATGGAAAAGATTTATATCTTTTGAAAAAAAATAGATTTTTTTTTTCTAATAATGTTATTCTCCTCATTGCCATTGTAGGCTCTAAGAATTTACATGAAACATATGTGCAGATAAGAGGAAGTATCTTTTTAAGGGTGATGTTACCCCATTTTTGCTGATGTATTGATGCATGTTGGGAACTATCACTGTGGTGGTGATAGTCAAACAGCAGCTGTGCTGAGCGTTTCAAAACACGCTGGTGAGTGTTGAGTGTTTTGATTTTTGGGGAGGCAGGTAGAGAAATCCTCTAATATTTTTGCTATCTGAAGCCTCTAATTCAAATGTGGAAAAAATATTTTTAGAAGTTTAAAGCAGCTATCGTTTTCTGTAGCTCACTGTTAAGCAAGTCAGTTCTACCCTCAATGTGTTGCTTGGAAAGTGCATCGTTTTTAGGAAAATATAACTGTAGTAGACAGCTGAGTTCCTTTAAATTGTTGAGTATCATAAAATGATTTATGTTGGGAAAGAGTTGTGGCCCACTGCAAACTGAAGTTGTAATCACCTGTATGTTCAAATTGTGTACAAAGGGTTTATGATGCTACTCTGCTCAGATGTTGAAAACCCTTCTGCTCTAGTTCCTGAGCAAATCAGAAAAAACACTCTGGGAATAAGTTCAGAGAATGCAGATAAAGTGTCTATATTTCAACTGTAACCTAATCTAGGTCTAAAATGAAATAACTCCAGTCTAGTTTTAAAGAAGTTGTAGGCTAGTGACAGGTATGCCATGGTAGCATTATTACAGCAGAGATATCATTTAAAATGAATTGAGCTTCCTTAAAGACTTCATGTGGTACCATTGCACTAGTGAATGTCAAGGAACCTGATCTCTCCCTGCCATAGATAACAGTGGCAACAGAGTGGGCATGTGTGATGCTGAGACAACCAAGTTACCTTCCAGGCTTTAAGAACATTTTCAGACGAGATGTCTTTGCAGATACCTGTGAGTTATATGGGCCTGCTTACTGCGGAGAGCCAAAATCAGAATTTTGATATGCAAAAAGCATTGTCTGGGCCTAGTTGTAAGCATTGATTATTAACGACTTAAATTCCTAATACCATTACTCTAGTATTACAATTTAAAGATATATGTCTCTGTCAGGGTTCTCAAAAAATGTTACCTTGTGGAATTTATGTTTTGCCTTCTCAAATATTCACGTTCTTATTGGAGAAATTGCTTTTCAAATCTTTCTGAATTTTTTACTTATGCAATTAACATGTCCAATTTTAGGAATGAGTAAAACACTCATTTTACTCATTCACTCAAAGTTTATTCAAGTATCTTGAAAATGGTCTTTAGGCAAATTGTATGTGAAAATCAAACTAGTACCTGTACAGATTTTGAACATGGTTTTTTATTTTGTGTTTCAGTTGCTGTTCCCTCACCAGTGTCAGCTTGTGAACCTGAGCCCAAAACCAACGGGCATTTCCCAACTCCACGACTCTCTGTTTCCTCCCGAGCAACCATTGTCGCCAGCATGGAAGCCCCTTCTCAGGGCCTGCAGACAGTCATGAAATGGAAAACAGTAGTGGCCATTTTCGTTGTGGTTGTGGTTTACCTGGTGACTGGAGGACTTGTCTTCCGTGCCCTGGAACAGCCTTTTGAAAGCAGGCAGAAGAACACAATAGCATTAGAGAAGGCTGACTTCCTTCGGGAACACGTTTGTGTAACCCAGCTAGAACTGGAGACACTGATTCAGGTAAGCTATGTGTAGAAGACACTATTTCTTGGGAGTCAGGAGAAACAACTTGACAATTCTTTGATCAGCTGAACTGGCTGGGAACACAAGTCTTGTTGACAGGGTCTTGCACTAGGCTGCTTAGTGCAAAGATGGAAAAATCACTAAGAGCCAATGTGAATAACAGACTCTTTAAAGTTATTTTAGTGGCCTGGAAATAGAATATTTTGTGTCCTCAAAATATTTTAAATAGTTGTTAAATATCTTCACTAGAATGATGAAAAATATATGCCAAGAAAATCAGAACCTGATACCTGGAATGGGATTTCGTGGCAGGTGACAAGTTTACCAAAGGGTTGCCTGTCTCTTCTTTCAGGATTAATCTCAGCAACCAGGTGAGCCAAGAGAAAATGATAGATGGGAATTCTGAAATAAATATTTGGCCAAGAATTCTGAAATTACCAGTGCACTAGTTTACAGGTTTATAATTGCTAATTTTAGGTAAATGAACCATGCAGAGGGCATACAATTAGAACCAGAAAATAACCTTAATTTTAAAACTACAGGCTTATTACTCTGGTCTACTGATTTTCAAAGCCTTAGAGTAGATTTTGACAGAAATAAAAATAAGATACATAGGAATAAGTAGAGAATGGAATAGCATGCAAGACAGTTTAGTCAGAGTTATCTTTCATTCATTAGATCTCTAGACAAGGAAAATATTATGCACCTCAACTAAATACTTCACACATATTTAGTAAAGTACCTTCTAAGATCTCATCTAGAAACTCACTTAGAATCCTAACTAACTAATTTAGAGGAGCACGATGTGTTAATGTCTTGGGTTATTTATATGCCTGGTCAGAGATTCATTGTGATTTTAGGCTATTTTAAGGATCACAGATCTATGCAATGGATTGTGTCCACTCACCTATATAAGCCTTTTCCTGGTGGATCAGACTCCATTTTAGAAGATGTTATAAGTTTAGTCTTTCCCTTAGGAAAATGCCCCAGTATCTCATCGATGTGACAGTAAAAACGTACTCCTAGTTTTCAGCCTAAACTCATTTAGTTTCTGTGTAGCTTCTATTGCTCAACTGCTTCCTCTCCCTTGCCCATGTGTAAACTGCAGTCCTCGGCTGCCTATCCTGAGCAAAACAAATTCTTTCTGTTTCTTTGCAGATAGATGTGGGCTTACCCAGCTTGTGCTCTATGTTCACTGAAGACAGGTCAATTCTGATTTGGAAGCTGTCTGTCCTTGTTTGTGCAGCCTGGTACTCGAGCTAAAGGGCCAAACCTGCTTCAGCAGGAAGCAGTACCATGCTGATGTGACTATTCAGCCTTTGGATCAGGGCTGGCTTGGATCACAGTCACATCTTCAAAAGACAGGTGAATGTGGTCGGTTTTCAGTGTAAACTCTTCTGGTCAGGAATATTGGCTCAGATCCATTTCTTGTGAAAATGTTGCAGAGGTTATAATTTCCCTTGACAACTTAGATATGATGTATGATGGATGATTACAGATTTTTAAAAAATATTAAAAGCAAGAACTTGTATTCCCCTGATGTGAATGTCACTATTAAAAGATATGCAAAATACATCCTTTTTAGCAGAAAATAGAATACATAATAGATACAACAAGCAAAGAACCTCAGCAGCACAGTAAAGACGCCTGCACAGAGAACACAGCACAAACATTTCTTAATAGCCCATATTCCCTAGCCTAAACTACATGGCTGTTTTAACTCATTATTGTGCACAACATCTTGTTCTTCTTTCACCTCAGAAGTGGTGACACAAAAATAATAAACAGGCCTACTGTGTCATTGGAAGGCAGATTTTCTGAACAAATTGTATCATCTCTTGAGACTTCAGTATGCCCTCAGGCATTACACAGGGTAACTGGAAATCATTTTGAAAAGGTAAATTAAATGTGTGTAGCAGCTTAGCGTTCGTATATCCTAAGGCCAAGAGATGTGAAATATTGGAACAGATCTGTCAATAAAGAATGATATCCTCTGGGTTTTTTAGAACAGCTGGGAGTCAACCTGGATGCAGGGAGGAGTTCAGGTGTGCTGGTACAGCAAACTGCACCAGTGAGCTGCTGTCTTGGGGTTTAGCGTTACGCTTTCCTGCCTTCATGATGATGATCTCAAAAGTGACATCTCTAGCTGGCACAATGGGTTACTGCATTGCACCAAATGCTGCACCTGCCTTTGCAGCTGTAATTTCAGCTTCCACTGCAACCTCCATGGGTCCTGGCTGCTGTGTGTGTTCATCCCACGGCTGCCCCTTAAGGAGATATTTATCAATATCATCTGACTGCCATAAAGTACATCCTTTCCAGAAGGACTGTGATGACTCAGCACTGTGCTTTGGAGAATGCACAGAGATGAAAAAATACAAAAGGGGAGACCTTAGAACTTAGACCTTAGACCTTAGAACAGGCAGGTATCCTGTATTGTGGGGGTGCTTCTGGAAGGAGAATTTTTAAGGAGAGAGGAAAAGAATGTTATATGATTCACAAGGTTAATGATGGATGGTTTTCTCCTTTTTTGCTAGAATTTCAGTCTTTCAAAGCGTTCTGCTGTACAAAACTTGTAAGAAAGCTGTATAGGAATGAATGTTTAGCTGTCAACATTTTGGTGTGGACGAGACATCCTTTCCAAATTGATCTCCAATAATCCACTGAAAATATTTGTACTGGTGGCACAGATGTGAATTGTCCTGGTGATAGTGCTGAGTCCAGACTGTGAATTTAATTCATAGTCATAGATTTCAGAAACAATATAGTGATGAGAGCAGTGTAAATCCATAGGAAGATGTAAACTGATTTAAGATGTAAACTTCAACTCATTTAGCGCTATTGTACCCATTTGGAAAAATAACAGAGGGTAGGAAGATTCAAGTGACTGGACATATGGTTGAATAAAATGACATTGATAGATAAACATGTCAATATATTATAAAGCTGTCTTTGTTCCCATATGTTAGACATAAGTTTATTAGTAGCTGGAATAAACAAGAAGTCACCTTGCCTTTGTAAGAAAGCACATTCAGACTGTAATATGAAAAGGCTCTATCTCTTCCTGAAAGATCAGATGTCATCTATCATTAGGAGAGACAGGGAGGAAGACTATCCATGTGTTTTAGCAGCGTAGCTCTTATGGACCTGATAAGAAAGCTGATATTCTGTTTTCACTTAGTCTGTTCATCATGTAAAGTTTTTTTTTTTTAAAGCTGTTGTAAAAAGCCCTAAATTATGACATAAGATAGAACGTTTTACTACTGTAAGAAGTTATTTAGGTGATTCATTGGCTTCTTCTCTCTTTTTTCCTCAGGATTTCTTTTATTGTGATTGATTATAGTGAGAAAATCTCACACCTGGGAACTAAGTCATATTATCAATGGCCACTAATGACTACAGCATTTCTAATGAGTTAGCCAGTAAGCTGAATAGGAAATAGAGTTGGAAATAAGCCAGTCAGACATTACTGGCTAATTTTGTCAATAAGAGTTCACATCTTGGATAGGTGCATCTGATTACTGTTTTGAACTACTATTCCAGAGAGTATAAGCAAACAAGGGAACGATCCTGTAAAGATATTTCAGTTTTTAGCTTCTTATCAGGTTCACTAGTGTTTAAGACAGCTTGTCTTTTCAAGGTGTTTCATTGTAGAATGAAGAGAACTTGGGTGGCTTTCATGTACTAGAATAGAGCTCTAAATGGAGGAGGAAAAAAAAAAAAGTCTTTTGAATTCTGAGTTAACTATGGGGAAGACTTGCCTGTTGCTGAAGATAGGAAGACTGTTTATGCTGTGAAGAGAAGCAAAGGTAAATATCTGATTATTGGATCTTCTTCCAGTGCATTTGGTGGGTGTTTTCTCTATATCTCAAGTTTTCCTCTGCCCTGATATTTATTTATGTTTATGTGGGTGCAGCTGGAGGCAACTCAGCTTATGATCCTAAAGACTATGTGAAAAAATTCAAAACTCTTGGGAAGGTCTAAGTTGGTGCAGACACCCTACGTGGTCCTGTAACCCAGAGATACTATAATCACACTGAATACAGTAGGACTCTGCTGCTGTTCTGCAGCTACATTGCTTCCAGAACATATCTGAGATGTTTGCAAAAGGTTAAGCCTCCTCACGTTAGATAGCTATGTATGTCCCTGGTTGAATGCTGCAAGTCTGCCTGGGAATTGGTTCATGGCACTGCTCTAGACCAGTACAGAGATGGCCTCAACTCACTTGATAAATGTAGATGAGAATTATCTGGCTGATTGTTACCTAAAGAATCCTGTGGGATGGGCAAAAATATTTAAGGGATACATTCTCAAGCTCATTACCTTGGTTATTCATGAACAAAAATTGTTGATGATTTCAGCGCAGAAGACGGAATAAATGGGAATTTATAATAAGATAATAATCTTTAATCACTTAATGAGGGTAGTGAGAACAAGGGGAGAGGTGGTGCATACAGAAAAATATTTTAGGAATTAGTCTTTAAATGCATCTTCCTAATGAAGGGTATCTGAGTAATCATCATGGAGAAACATCTGAGCATGAAAGACAACTGTAACAACCTTCTGTGTACTTGATAGGAATATGTTTGGAAAAGAATTATGGAAAGAGATAATCATTATTGGATTAGTGTGATCTGTGGAGAGGAATTAATAGAAGTAGAAAAAGGGATGACAAGAATTTTCTTTTCTATTCTAACTAAATTCCTATGCTTGGATACAGAGGAATAGATGCTTAGAATAGTGAATACCCAATAAAAGGATTATACTTATTCTTGGAAAAGGTTTTTCTTCATGCTGGGATGCTACTGGAGAAATTAAAGAAACATGGACAAGTAAATCGGACAAAAGCATTTCTTCCCAAGGAATGCAGTATTAGTCTGCTTGATTCCTCTGTCCCCATCAGCTGCATTAGCTCCCAGCTATCTTTTTGCCTGTGGGCATGCTCTAGACTTTTTTTTTTTTTTTTTTTTTTTTTTGAGTTAGTCGTCTTAATTAGTAATCAAGGTACCTAATGTGCAAGAGGGGATCAGATAGTGATTATGAGGGTACAGTGAGGGCTGGCTGCTCTTAAAGCTGAGGACCATATGACCTTGCTGGCCAGAGTCTGTCCCTCCACCCTCACTAACAGAGCAGCTCAGGTCTGGGGGTGCAGCTTGCAGATCATCAGTCAAGTTTGTAGTGGTGAGGCAGGTCCAGGGTCAAGTCAGAAACTCAAGACAGGGTGAAGTCTAATGAGGGTAGGTGTGATCAGACAGTTGTGATGGGAGGGCAGGGCTATGGCAATAGAGCTGGGCCAAGGCTAGGCCAGATGGCTATCCATAGGTCAGGCTCATTGGAGCCTGTGATCAAGCAGGGGTGGAATTGTGGTGGGGCTGGAGCCTAGCACCGTTATGATGTTGTAGGGCCAGCACTGATGGCCTTGGGCTGGACTGAAATGGGGGCCAGCAGCATAAAGGAGGCTGAGGAGTAGGCACAACAGGGCAGGCTGTCAGTGCTCTCAGCTGAGGTAAGGAGGGTAAGGTCACGCAATAATCTCATAAAGATATTAATTAGCAGTTTAGTTGGTATTTGAAGTGAAAAAATAATTATACTACAACATGTTATTACAATCAGTAAAGTTATAGGTGGTCAAGATGCAACACTGCAACACTTATTTATTTATTAGTAGAAAGATGAGAATGAATCGATTGACCCAAACTACACTGCCCTCCGATAGGAGGATATACTCATTATTTGACAGCATAAGCCTGACGGGAATTATTGCTGCTACTGATGATCTGTAAGGGAAGATAACAACCTACTTCCTCTTAAACATCCAAGAGACTGTGTTCTACTCTACCTTCTGCTGCCCTCTGTGTGTCACCTTATCTCCCCCTGCCGAAGTTATCATCACTGAATATCTGCTGCTGCTCTGAAATAATGCCATTTAGTTTCCAGGCAAGGTCAGAGGAGAGCATTACCTTGCAATATGTGCCAGGGTCCACTACTTGCTCCAGAGATTCCTGAGCGCAGACTGACCCAGCTGGCTCCTGGATGCACATCACATAATGATGTTGACAAAGCACATGCCATACTAGCCAGTCCTGATTGTTAAAAAAAGATAATGGTTTCACCTCTGATCTTCAAATCTGTCAGCCAAACCCCATGAGCTACCTGTGTTCTGCCACATTTTTTTAGATGCTTGCATTCGTGACAGGTTGTGTTGTTCAGGCCAATTGGACTGTCACTTTGGGATTGTTTCCTTAAGAGACCAGGAAATCTCATAAGAAAATTCCCAGATGAATCCTACCTTTTGTTTAGACTTTCCGGGTAGCTTTCAGCAGGCCAATCATTTTGTACTTCAGTCTTCATTTATGGGGGGATGAGAAGGGTGGAGTTGGCAATTATTTATCAAACCCTTGCTGAATTCTGATCCTGCCCATGAGAATGTAGGCAACCACCTGAATCTGAATGTGATCTGCTTTGCTTTCAGCAGACATTCACCAAATTATTAAAAAGTGGTAGAAGTAGGATGCAACTCTGCAAGCTCTCAGCTCATTTGTAGTAGCAGTTCAACAGCAAATATTCCTGCTTAAGGGATATGTAAAGAGCAGTGGTGTGTGTAACTTTAAATACTGTAAGCATATACATCATCATATTTTTCATATAATTTTGACAATATTCTCATATAATAAATAACATAGTATACGTATACCAACATAAATACATAACAAAATAACACTCATGCTATTCATAGTAGTTTCATATAATATACACTTTCCTAGGAAAAGAGAAAAATGTCAGGCATGAAAACCTGGTAACTCTCTAAGTTTTCCCTTTTAGCAGTGTGAGGGAATGGGGAAGGCTGCCTGCTCTGCCAAAGAGCATGAGCCAGGAGCCAAGTGCAATGGGCAGGTACCAGAGGAACTGGAAGAGGTAGGAAGTACTAAGAACTTCTTGGAGCCCTTGGACTCTTGGAAAGGAGTTGCAGTTGAAAACATTTGGGAAGGAGAGTTTCATTTTTTAAGACAGTCATTCTAGATATAGTTCTAGAGTGATCAATCAAATCGATCGAATTTCTCTATTATAGTCCGTAGATTGCATGAGATCTGCAAATAACTTGAGTATATGTGTTATAGGGCATCTCTAAAGTAAACTTGGAAAAAATCAGCTGAATGCTCAGGTGCTGATGAGAGATTTATGTTCTGTGCCATGGAGGCTGTGGATGTTAGCTCTGCCTTTCTTTGTACAGTGAAAGTTGCAGTGAAAGGCAAATGTGTATGTCCTTATGATGCAATGTGATGACTTCTTTCTAAAAATGCTCCAAGAATCTTTTTCAGCTTGCTAATTTGATTTCATCTGGTGTTGTGTGAGTAGGAAAATGACCTGTAAGTAGTAGAGCTACCTCAGCTTCTGATCTGAAGCTTAGTTTGTTCCTGCACTAGCTGGGGGTCTTTAAACCATGCTGTATCAGTAGACATGTGATCATGTCCAGGATGCCAGCTAGGAAGTCTGTCTGATCATAAATTTGTCCACGATGTTTCCATAGTTATCCTATTTGTTTCAAGTGGGATATAAATAAATAAATTCTATTTAGCACAAAATATAAATAACTTCATCAGTTACCAATTGTCAGCAAGTAAAGTCCTTGGCTGACTAGCTTCAATTGGCTTCATGAATGCTATTTGTTTTTACGACCCATCTTGCTGCTTCTATCACCAGCTTTTTCCACTGGGATTTTTTTCCCTTGGCAGTTATTGCCATAAGAGCAATATTTATGGATTTCTTTTGTGTTATTAGTCCTCTGTTTCCCAGCTCTTTGTATCTTTTCTCATTGTCTACATACTGTATCTTTATTAATTATATCTTTATTATCTCAGCTATCTTAATTATCTACATTAGTGTCTATTTCAGTCACATATCAGATCTTGTGTGTAGAATAGTAGAATAGTAGAATATTCTACTGTACTTTGAGCAGGACCAAAAAAGTTTAAATCTAAGCTGTTCCCACAGTCCTGTCTTGACTTACAGGGAATATGGTAAGGTATTTATAAGACTGATTTGTTACCTTTTTTTTTTTTTTTTTTTTTTTTCCCCAGCATGCTATTGATGCTGATAATGCTGGAGTCAGTCCCATAGGAAATTCCTCTAACAACAGCAGTCACTGGGACCTTGGAAGTGCCTTTTTCTTTGCTGGAACTGTCATCACAACAATAGGTATGTTTATCTTTTAAAATATAGAGTCACGCAGAATTGGATTAGGAAATAAATTTCCATAAAGTACATCACAAAGAAACAAAGTGGCAGAACTGTATTTCTCTTAATTCTCAAAGGACATAACCCTGGCAGTGAGCCTCTGGGAAAGTATCAGAAAATGTTCATACAGGGTAGAACAACAATGCTGAACTGCAAAATTATTAGCACCTACACCTTCAAACCCTGTTTTTGGTGTAAATGTAGATGATCTTCTTTTTTTCTATGAAAGTCAAGAATTAGTGCCAGATAAAAGAACCTTGATTAGCTATTGGAAATTACAGATTAATTGTGCAGACAGGTAACATTTTTCTGAAGAATATCAGTTTATTTTGGCTCTGAATCTTTATATAATTATTTCTTTTACTACCTGACTCCTTGTAACTGGAAATATACTCACATAAGTATCAAATCTTTTTCAAATTTCTTAGCAAGTACAATCTTGTTTGGAACAGTTCCAGGGAAAAAAAAAATCTGTGCTATTTCAGAATTTGTTTCCATGAAGTACTATCATATTTCTCCTTAGTAGATGTAGGATATACTGGAATGCTTCATTTACTTTTCTGAACCACTCATTTTTGGTAATTTCATTATGCAGGTCCTTGTCATCTGTGTCACATATACATGATGTCCAGTGTACTTAGTCTCTCAGTCTGTGAGGGCTGGCTTTAGGTGTGCGAAGATTTTTATCCTCTGTTCTGTGAACCTGTTCTTTTGAAGATTGTTGAGGCAGTTGGGACTTCAGAAATCAGTCTGAAAGGAAAAGATGATAAACCAATAACGCTGATAATAAGGTTAATCTGTGAACTGTAATACAGTATTCTGGTAAATTTAAGCTCCTGATTATCATTAAGGGATCAGTGATATTATTTGGAAGTCACAGACAAATTGTTGTTTTTTATTTGCATTGCGTTTGAAGATTCTTCCATTTGTTGGTACTGCTACTGTATGAATTCTGTCTGGACATTTGCCATTTTTTTAATTATGACTACTACTGCATGAATTCTGTCTGGATATTTGCCATTTTTTAATTATGCCCAGTACATTTCTTCAGCAAAACACTGAAAGATGGAATAAGGTGCTTTTCCACATTCTGACTGTGATGCATACTCTGGTGACTGTACAGACAAATAATCCAAAAGCACAAAGACTTCATTAAAACGTGAAAATCTGGACTGAAATCTTCAAATTCTTTATGCATTTGAAGCAATAAAAAAATCCTAATTCAGTTATATAAACTTGTTATTATGATGAACCCAAATACTGAAGTTGATGCCTCTGGCTCGAAGTGATTGTATAAGGGCATAGAGCACACACCTTTGTGTGTCTTTCTACACTGTTACACTACCATGTGTTTTTAATACTTACATAAAATTAGGAGGTGGATAGAAAAACATTTCTGAATTAAATGTCCAAGATAGAGGCTTTTAAATTGCTCATTAAAATAAATGCCACTAGCTCTGTATGTTGGCATAGTTTAGGAAGGCACATTCATTGACATCTGCTATTTAAATAATTTATTGAAAAGAGCCTGATATTTGCTTTATATTTTCCATGAATGAGGTATTGCGAATATTGTGGAATAGTATTGTATCTGGGCATGAAAATGCTTTTATTTTATTCCCCAAAGTCCTGCTAGACCTCCTCTTATGCAGACAGACACTCAGCAGACTTTTTTGCCTCAGTCCATAGATCTGTGAAACCTCAATTTTCTTAGACTTTTAGCAGAAACCTGGGCTCACAGATGCAGCCATGAAACAGATTCATTTGGGGAAGGTGGTGCACAGCATCCACATAGTGATTTTACCACCCTGTGCAGAGGGATGTCCCTGTTGCCAGTGTTACAGACTTGAGAAGACTGGAGCCTTAATCCTCAAGGACCCTGGGATTTGCTGTGGATTAAGCAGACACTTTTGTAGATCTCCATCTCCCTGAATGCTCTGGGTTCCCAGGTCATCTCGGCAGGGACTTGCAGAAAGTATAGTTCTACAGACAGCACCTATAGAGAACTAGACCATGTTGTAATTCACTCTCAATTTTCTTAACCTTCAGGACATCCTTGAATTTACATATGACTCTTCCAGGATATGAGATATTTTATAACATTATTACAAACAAGTCTGGCTCACCTTCAAATCGAACAGTCTCTGGTTGGCAGTTAAACAGGACTGCTTCCCTATACAGTGTAAACTGCTCTTCCTAGATGTGTCCTCCTTTCCTCCTCTGTGTGGCTGAGCCTCTCTGACAGATGTTTTTCTGTGGCTTTAAAAGGCAGTGCTTATACATTTGCTTTGCACTGCTCAAAATTCGGCATCCCTGGTAAGTTTAAAAAAACAGAGTATTCTAAATAACAGCTGAGCTGCTGTTTCTGTCTACTCCTTTGGTGGGAAGGTGATACTACCCTAACAATGAATATATATCTCCATATATGTAGTAGCAAGACTGGCTTTGGAAGTCAACCCAGGTTAAAGAGTCCTCATTTTTGCCTGTGTTGCAGTTTACCATCACTACAGTTATTCTAGTCTTCATGTTTACTTTGTAAATAAAATGACCGAAATAAGAACTAAAAGTAACCTTCAAAAAGGAGAAGCAGGGAGAAAAAGGCAAGATGGATTCAAATCTATAGCCAAATTCAATCTATGAAATAAACTTCAGTCAGAATTCATTAATTGCCTCAAGTCATCACAAGCTGTTAAGTCTTTATTGTCTTCAGCACAGCCTATTTTCTCTAGTTCAGATAGGTCTATTTATATGAAACTCACTTATTTTTACTTTATCTATGAGATAAAGTAGAAATCTGTAGAAATCTAGAGTAAAGATTCTTTTAATACATTAGTTATCAGAGGATCTACTGCCTCAGAGTTTCTCTTTTTGGATGATACCTGGTGTTTCCCAATCCCTACATGGAGTCATAAGGCTCGGAATGAAAACCAAATGTGTCCATATGTGCTGTGTCCAGAAGAGATAGTTTTAATTCATGAGATACAGACATGTAATTATCAGTTGGTAGGAATCTGTGACCTGTTGAACAGTCCTGGGTTGCCCTAATAGAAGGGAAAAGGTAGGTATGTACTTGCCTTTATTACAGCAACAAAAATACTAGCTAAATGTAAATGGGTTAAGATGTCCAGAGGGAAAGCTTATGTGCTAAAAAATACTAAAAATAACCAAATATGATCGTTAGACTTTTTTACCTTTAAATCAAAATGGAACTGAATAAGCCAGAAGCAGCCCTTGAGATTTCAAGTAGGGTGAGCGCAGTCTAGTCAGTGCAATGAGGGACTGAGGAAATTATGAGCTAACCACTGAAAATAATCTTGTCAGGTGCATCACACTCCCATCAGGAAGCAATTGGCAGAGCTAAGAGAAGCAGCAACATGGAGGCATCAGGCCAGCACTAAGTGATTTTTGTGCCATGATAAGTCAAGTTAGATTGATTAATCAAGTAGTAACTTTAGTTAGCAAGATGATTCCATGGAAAATATGGGTAACTGAGGCTAAAAATGAATAACTCTAAACCAAATGGGGAAACTTGTGTGGGGAATGACATCATGTGATGGACAGTTTGTGAGGAGGAATTACATGTGGAACAAAGGCATCGTTATAGGACCAACCCATTAGTTTTTCTGAAAAATGATATATAAAATTTGAGACTGACGATGTTTTTTTCTTCTCAGGATATGGGAACATTGCCCCAAGCACTGTCGGAGGCAAAGTGTTCTGCATCTTGTATGCCATCTTTGGCATTCCACTGTTTGGCTTCTTGCTGGCTGGGATTGGAGACCAACTTGGAACCATCTTTGGGAAGGGTATTGCAAGGGTGGAGAAAGTTTTCAGAGTAAGCTTATGGTCAATTTTTCATTTGCATTGTATAACTTGTCTAGCTTTTAAATCTGTTGCTGTAATTTACAGTCCTTTTTAAATACTGGGCAACATTGACATAATTTAGATGATGCTTACCTTCTTCAGAACCCTCTGTGGTTGGTGAAGAGAAATAGGGTTCTCTAGATGGTTATGTGGGGGATATAGAAGAGAATCTGAATTTTCTTCTTGATGATGCTTTATTTTTTAGTGACTGCAAGCTATCTCTTGGGAACAAATCTCCTAAGCTACCTTATAAGGAGTAGATGTAAAACACCCTTCAAAACACTTTAGACTGCTGTTTTGATTTTGTCTCACTGAAAATAGAAAGACGTAGTATAATTTCTGGAGGGCTAAGGATGCAGTGTAGGTTCTGAGTGTACTAGTAACAAAGCCTAAAAGACTTGGAAAGCGAGATTATTGGAATGGATATAAGTTTGGGAAGAGAGATGGCTAAATGATATACTTTTGCTGTGAGAGGACAGATGTTGGAGTACATCTCAGTGGAATTTTCTTCAGGCATTTAGCATTTACACCCCTGTGCCCCATAGGTGTTACAATGGATTGCAGGATGGATTTTCTAGAGTTGAGCAGCTCACATGTAATTTCCCTTAAGGTGGCCAGTGCCCTCCATTTCTGAGTTTGTGTCGCCAGAAGCAATTCTTTTGCAAGCAATGCCACAGAACTGGCAAACGCCACTTTGCTAATTTGCTCATGGTTCACTTCAGGGATTCTCTCTTTGAAGCAGAACTTCTAGAAGTGCCCTGTGTGGTGGTTCCCTTGGAGACGGCTTAAGTAGAGGTAAGTCTTTTCAGGGATGGAGTGGATAAGGAGCTGTCCAAGCTAATTAGTTTAATAGACAGCTATTTCTAAAACATTCCCACAGATGAGAGCAAATTACTTGTAACTGTTTTTTGAAAGGAAATAATTGAGTATTAGATTGGAGTATGAGTGATCTTCTCTTGATTGAGTTACTACGAAGTGTCCCAGACTAGCCTAGCCATTAGGAATATCTCTCAGTAGAAATGTGGAAAAAGATGACTACTGAATTTCAGTGAAATAGCATTTACGCGCCTGAGCTCAGACCACTTGAATAGGTTTTTTTTTTTTTTTTTTTGGGCAACTGCATAGTTCTGTTAAAATGACGTCATGAAAAGGTGGGTAAGGTTGGGTCTGTAAAGATGAAATGGGAAAAATTTACAAATTTATTTTTAAATTAATTTCTTCTTATTTATACCTACTTCAACTCAAAGGAATCTGTAAACCTTCAAGTCTGGTTCCGCCCAAGAAACCTACAGCATGGTAGTTATTACATGAATTTGAGAACAAAGAGATCTTTGATTAATTCTCAGCTGTATTAGATTTTCTGAATGACTTGGGAAAGAGCACTAGTCTGTTAGCCAAAGTATCTGCCAAATACTTTATGAATAAAAAATAATACATATTCTATTTATGATTCATAGATGAGTGTTGTTAATACAATGCACTACAGAGTACAGCCCTTTGGCACATATTAAGAGGTTTGTTTCTTTTCTGGTATTCAAAAGGACTTTCTGCTTTTTCTTCACTTAATGCATTTGTTGTTTATAACAACAAAGAGCATTCCTTTTCCTCCGTGGTATGTTGTCAGCTGCCAAAGCAATTTAGAGATCTGAGGCGTCAAAGTGGTTTAAAGATCTGTGTTGCCCTTGATTAGCCCAGGTAAATATTTATTCATTTCAGTTCTGTAATGATTTTTGAGAGTTTTATACGTCATTTCCTTCAAATATTACTGATAGTAAGGTTCAGCCGACTGAACTTTATATATTCTACAGTTTCCTTTATCTTAGTAACTAGTCTTAATATTCCACATTATATGATTATTTATACAATGACTAACATTATATTAGCACACTATGCATGTATGTTGTTAGCTAGTATAGAATATGGTAATTATATTTTAAATAATTATTAAATTATTATTTTGTTTGTATATTTTTAGATGCCATAAATATTTGTGTCTAATCAGAAAATCCAGAAGTAAGAAGCAATTCTTATTTTAATTCTGAGCTGTGAACAAAATTTAGTTCTATTTGTGACTCTTGCTTCTTACTTTGTAATTGTCTCCAAAGCATATTCAAATACAACATAATTGCGGGAGTAAATCAGAGGAATGGCATTCTCCCCCCCCATAAAAATGGGAGAATAGAAAGCAACTAAAAAGAACAAATATATTCCAAATAGACACTAACAGGACTAAGAAAATGTCAGTATGTCCCTCATGAATCTGCTGGAGTTTTCTGAGAAGTTGCAGTGTGTATCAATGATTTAGTGATAGTGTCTGTTAAATTTTCAGAAAGCTTTTGACAAGCTTTCTCATCAAATACTATAAGGAAATCAAGCTGTGATGAGATAAGTGAGAAGATTTTACGTACCAGTAAGTGGATAAAGGGGAAATGGAGATGAGGAATAGATGGCAGAACTATCTGTGTGATTCCATCAGAGTCCTTGCTAGAATCTTACTACTTTAGTAGAAATGGCCCACAACGAATCACAAAGAGGATGAATATGTAAATGATTGAATTTGCAAATTACATCTCTAGATATTTCAGGATAACTAAAATGATAGTGACTTATATTGAGCTGCAAAAGGTTGATAATATTATAGACAAAATGCGGAATGCAGAAATGCATTTGTATTAGGGTTGAGGAATCTAATTCTAATACATGCACAGAGGGATTTTACTATGAAAATACTCCACAAAACATAGCAGCAGTCAAAAAAATGAAACAGGCTGTTCATAAATGGGTTGAAGATGAAAAGGGAAACCCCATATCACCACTGCACAAATCCACGGTGCACTTGGACAATGAATATCACATGCAGCTCTAATCATCCCATTTCAAAATTCAGAAATAGAAATGTAAAGCAGTGTTAGGATCTGCATGAGCAGTCTTTTTAGCCAAGTCTTTAAGACTACATTAACTAACTGCCCACTAACTAACTGGAGCAGTACAGGTTGTACTCTTGAGAGGGGAGTAGGAGGAAAAAGGCAGAAAATTTTTGGAATTTATATAATATAAAGTTTACATGTGCATATGGCTCAACACTGTTTCTATCTATCTTCAGTTATTTTTTTGTAACTGTACTCTTTATACATTCACTCTTATATCTGTTACATGGCTGGTGTCAGGGCAGGCAAAACTTCCTCACATCCTTACAGCCTTGTTGTCATCTGTATAGGTGGATGGGATCTGAAGGCAACTTGATCTTGCACTGAGCTAAAGTAGTCTACAGGGGAAAGGGGAAAGTGAGATGATGCACTGCAGACTTGAGAGTGCTTCTGAGACCCAGGTTATCAAACATTGTCAAATATCATCAGGAATATGGGAGATGAGAGAGTGACTGAAGGGTGACTGAATAGAATTTTAATCTTTAGCCTAGTGAAGACTTTACTGGCATAGGCAGATATTAGAGACTTCCATAAAATCACGAATCCTATGGAGAAAGTGAGTAGGAAATAATTATTCCCTGCTTCTTGTAACATTGAAATGAGGGGCCTGTCAGCGAAAACACTTCACATTAAATTTTAAAAAGCCTTGAGGAAGTATGCCTCATGCAAAGTCTAAATTAAGCTTTGAAACTCATTGCTATTTGTAGCAATCAGAAGCATACATGGATTAGGAGAGGAATTAGACAATTTCATGGTGATGAATCCATTGAGGGCTTCGCTTCATAAAACAGTAAAACCCAGACATCACCTCTAACAAAAGAAAGCTTTATATTATGTTCACAGAAATGTAGAAAGGAATACCAAAGTAATAACCCCATTTTATTTGCTCTCTTTTATGATCTTTTTTTTTTTTCTAAACTGTTCCTGACTGCCTTTGAAGTTGGACTATTGAGTTGCCCAGACTTTCGGTGTGATCTAGCATGTTCAATATTCTATTACATAGAATGGTCATTTGTTTGGTGGAGCATCACATAGCCAAATAAGAGGGCAGTACAGGTGTGAGTGGTAGTTTTACTTTGGTTAAAAGAGGTGTGATTCTGAATGAAGTAATAGCAGACCATATCCCCTGTGCCCATCTTCACCGAATGGAAACTGTGCCGCAGAGCTGCAGAGCTCTGTTGTCATGCTGTCAAGTCTGTTTGCAATAATGTACCGTTATTTAGTTTCTTACCATTTATATATTTATTTATTTATTTATTTATTTATTTATAGTTCTAAAAGAGAAACAAAAGGCAGATCTAGTTGTTTTCCATGTACCAGGCCTGTCTCACCCAGTTCTTTCCATATAACCTACCTGTAAAGGTACCTACCTACATGGTAAAGCTTGGCATGCAGGGTTCATGGTAGACCTGCAGTAACTTCCTGCCATCTTCTTTGAAGCAGAATTTCACCATTTCAGATGGTTGGGATTTTTGCTTGTTTGCTTGTTTTGAGGCTAGGTAGCAAGCTGTATATGTGCACTGGCAGCTGGGAAGGAGAAGGTGGTTTCCACTTCAGCACAGAGCTCTTCTCAACCAACACATTCCCTTCAGAGGGCTCTTCCTCAGCCCACTGGTGTAACTGTGAGCAGTCACCTCGTGCTGCACAAGGGACAACTTGCCCCTGGCACTGCCCAGTATAGCTGGAAAGAGGAAAGGAGAATTTCTCTCTGAGTTGCTGTGCTAGCGCTCTTCTATTGCCTGAGACCTTTGTAGAACCCAACCAAACCTACATTAATTAGCAGCACAAGTTAGAGCCCAGGGATGCTGCACTTAGCTATTATAGGGATCAGCCCAGGCAGGTATTTTAAGAACAGTTTGAACCTCATAAAAGTGGAGAGACCTCTGATCTTATCAAATATGCACTACTCCCACAGTATTGACAGAATATTTGATCAGAGGAATTGAGCATTCACTACTGTACCTCTTGCAATAAAAATATATTTTTGCCACTATTACAGTGTGTAAATACCAAGGAAAACAACCATACATTTGACTGTGACTGG